AGAGAGAGAGAGAGAGAGAGAGAGAGAGAGAGAACCTGCGTTTGCAGAATGGCAATAAGAATCGTGAACTGGGATAGCAGCTCAGTGGTTTCCCACAAGAGAGAGAGAGAGATATCCTGGTCTCGAAGAATGGCAATAGGAATCATGGACTGAGACAGCAACTCAGTGGTTTCCCACGAGAAAACCGAAGCTGCTTCTTCAGCCTGTCAGCATCAGACCACCCATCGATCACGACCGACTCTGATGACAGATTCGTCGATTATGATCATGATGTCGTACCGACAACTTCAAGTAATCCTTTCGCAGATGCTAATGGCAGCGGCGAAGCGATGGCCGATAGAGATGAACCTATAACCAGCAACACAACCTCATCGTCCTTGCCCAAGATCTTGGAGATCAGCAGCTTTCAGACGTCGAAAGAGAAGACATAGTTATACAGCTTTCAGAGGTCGATGCAACACTTACAAGATATACGAACACTAAACCTATTACATCAGACTCAGAGATCAGCACCTGCTCACTACTTTCCTATCACCCCGGGATTGATTGCATAGTAGAAGAAAGAGTTAATGATCGTTAAAGAGCTCGTGTACCATCTCAGCATCATGAGCTATCAAAGAACGAAAGAAAATGTTCTGCTTGACTTTGACCAGCGCCCGCATCATAATCTGCGATCGCCATGTCGGAAGAAGTTGACTCGTTGATCTGCGATGAGAGCAACTTGTCCAAAACCTTCCAATCTATCAGCTGGCCGTCACAGTTGCTTCTTCTCTTGTTAGCACCGTGCTCGTCACCATGTTGGACCGTCCATTCCTTCGTGGATAAGCTTGGACTGTCCATCTGTGGAATGTCAAACGCATGTTCTATGCCCCTCACGTAAGAATCCATGAGGAAGGCAGGCCTGGAAAAGTTCACCGGAGAGCGAGGTCCATCGATGGTGTAGCATGGCCTCGGACTAGGGCTTGGCTTTTGGAACGCTCTACAGACGACCCATCCTTCTTCCTGCAACTCAAGTTCAGTACGGCACGCATGCGAGGGTTGGGCTGAGTTCTTACACGGAGTTGACTTGCCTGAGGCGGTCCGTGTTGACTCGTCTGAAGACGGTACTCATGCATGATCCAATCGGTCTTCCTCCCGTTCGGGGCTCGTCCCTCGTAGAACACCAGAGTCTTCCTCATCCCTATGATTCGAGAGCTGGAGAGAACGGGCTTGTCGCGCCCCGTTGCTTTCCAGAATCCGGCAGCGGTGGCTCTGTTGGTGCGAGTTCCGCTGGGGTACTTCCTGTCCTTGAAGCTGAAGAAGTACCATTCGGTTTGCTCTTCATGGCCATACTTGCACCGATCTATCCACCAAGAACAGCAAGCATTAGTCGTACGGAGTAGATGGATGGTAAGAATCTTACCGTAACGACGACTAGCCTTGGAGATCCCATGGCTCCATTCGATAGAGATCGACATCCCGAATGACGTCCGGATCGATCTTCTGGCAGGCCACCTTTCTTGCAAGATAGTATCCGACGAGCTCTGCCTCCGTGGGGTGGAATCTGAAACCAGGTGGCACACAAGAATATTCCACCACCTCCATTGCCGATTCAGCTGTAAACCCTAACACGCACCCACGAGTCGTTCATGCATAGAGGAAGAAGATGGAAGAGAAGACACTACATACATATATCAGCTATCATGTAATGCAGCTTATTGTGATGTTTGATAGCGATCTTCTTCTTCTTCTTCTTCTCTTTGGAGCAAACGATGTCAACAACAACAACAACAACAACAACAACAACTGCTACTACGACAGAAAGCAGACGATAAAATTGACTTTTTTGAGGATGAAGCATGCCTGCCCTGTGTTGCTTTGAGTGCACTACATGGTTGGGTAGCTTTCAGCATCCACCACGCCCCCACAAACAAACAATCTTAAAGGCCGAAGGCACTAACGACGGCTGAAACTTTACAGTGACAATCCGCCGCAAAATCGACCGTTTACCCACTCACGGATGCTACACTTCTTATCGCTACACACACGCATGCATGTAAAGCTTGTGAATGAGGAGAAAGGGATGAAGAACTAAAACCATAGCATCCATCCATCGAATGCTATACGCATCTAAGAATAGAACCACTAGCTAGCCAGTTTGTCCTTGCATATATATATATATATATATATATGCCTTCCATTGCACTCATGCATGCTACTTGACCTAGAAATAGAGGAGAGAGAATGAATCTATCTTCAGTCTTCTTACCCATGGAGGAGTTCATCTGGCAATTCATTATCGAGTTGCTTCCAGAGAGAGAGAGAGAGAGAGAGAGAGAGAGAGAGGAGAATAGAGTAAGATGGTAGAGGCAGCAGAGGGTTTTATACAGGTGGGAAGGAGCTGGAAGGACATAAATAAATGAAGGAATTAATGTAGAGAGAGAGAGAGAGAGAGAGAGAGAGAGTAGTCATCGATTGCGCGTGGGGTGGGCAAAGGGGAACGGAAAGCATGGAAAGGGACAGAGGAAGTCGATTTGGGCGGCGGGGAGTGACAATAAGAAATCCTCACTCCACCACCACCACCACCACCACCAGCAGCAACTCCAGCTCCCCCTCTCCCCTTGTGTTGGTAGCCTCCTTTACCGCCCTTGTATTGTGCTGCAAGACTTTCTTCTTGGAATAGACGTTAGATTCTGAATGCCACTTCTTCCTGTCCAAGAAATATCATGTGGTGGTCTTCCTCTCGCACCACAAACTAAGCCAATCATCTGTGTTCATTTCCGAGAAAGAAGCTTCCATTAACAAGAACTAAAGATTGTATATAATTCGGTAGTCTTGTAACGAAGAAGTATGACATCATGAATGGTATTGCCATCTATCTCTATAAATCCAAGACTTGGAACGCAAGAAATACCATGACGACAAAGAAAAGCTAAACCCTTGTCGTTCAAGAAGAAAGCACAGAAGACTTGTGTGGGGAATGTGTCCCAAGAACAGCCATCTGAGTACCAAATGGCAGCTAGTTTTATCTGTGTATATTATTCCGGTGGCCTGCACTGCTTTTGATGGTGCTTGCTAGTACCATATTAGAACCAACAAAGGGAATCACAAGTGGAAATGCGTGCTCTATCCTTCTTAACTGATGGCCATTTGGTTACTTGATGAAGGGGTTTCTCATGCTCTACCTATGTAAAATTCATTGTATACCACACCTTCACTTTGTTCGGGAGGAAGGATGATCCAGGAAGCTGACCCATCGTTATGCTCCGAGATCTTCACCATTGGTAGCTTCGGAAACATGGACTTCTCCTTCTCCCCTTAATTCTGGAATCGAAGGGTCTCACCTTCTTCTTTTCGAAGTGACATCACATCTGTAACGTATGCAGCTTGTCCTCATGTTTAGAGAGAGTCGGATTAAGATGCTAATGGTTCATGAAAGAAGGATCTTTTTCTTTTGTGGCTAAGTGGATGATGACCAGAACTGCTGGATGCTAACAAGAGATCAGTGAGGGAGACATAAGCAAGTAGTATATTGGGCATGAGGATGCCTTTCCATGGCCGAGGCGTGACAAAAGTGATTCGTTCCAAGTTAATAGAGCTGATTTCCTGTGACACGCTTGCGCTTGTTCTTGGACAAAGCAACCTCCTTGGACTTGGACACCCACGGGCGGCCAGTCTCCCTCTTTATGTGTCTCGTCATACTTTGCTTGCTTGTAATGCCTTTCTAACATAACTATATTATGTCTTGCCTCTCTCTCTCTCTCTCTCTCTCTCTCTCTCTCTCTCTCTCTCTCTCTCTCTGTGAGAACACAAGCTTTCACTTTGGCATGAGGGATCTTATAATCTTGGATGGTTAAGACAGTTAGGCAAGGCCATGCTTGTTGCTTGCGTCACTTGGATACTGTTGATTGCTTGTTGGTGGAGTTGAGACTGAAATGAAGACTACATGAAGACTTTTGTTGAAGATATAAGACTCAGTAGTCCAAAGACTTTGTTGTGGAGAAACTAATCACAGAGGTCTCTCTCTCTCTCTCTCTGTGTGTGTGTCTTAGAACACAAAGCTCTGAGTCTTGAGACTTGACTAGCAAGCAGATAAGGACATGTCTCCTCCCACAAGTGGTAGCCTTTCACTTTGGCATGAGGTATGATTGAACTCTACTTTGGCTCATGAGCTAAAAGCCTTGAAGGGTGAGGATAATTAGACAAAGCCGTGTGAGTTGCTTGTGATGTGGTTGGATTTGAAGCATCACTTAAATACTAGTTGGTGGTGGAGTTGAGACTGAAGTGAAGAGTACCAACTGTTCCAACAACATGAAAACCTCTTAATGAGTCCAAAGAATATGTTATTGAGAAGCTAATCACAGAGGACTCCTACTTCTTCTCTTCTCTTGGGTTGGCTACTGTTGCAAGACAAAGGAGTGAGACCAAGCTAATAATCTAACCCACTTTCCAAGTACCAAAAAAGCTTAACCCAACACTCCCCATGGGCTTATTATTTTGATCTGATGACCTGAACATGGTGGTCTCCTTCTGTTTGTCATCATTGGAAATGGATGACTAGTTGGGACCAGTGTGGCACTGCTATTTTTTGGTATGTGTCTGACATGTGGCAGCCTTCATCATTGGGTGCAATGTATGAAGATTGCCTTCAGAAAAATAATCCAGCCTGTTGCTGCCAATGTTGATCAGACATGCTGTTCTCAGAGAGAGAGAGAGAGAGAGAGAGAGAGAGAGAGAGAGAGATCTAATAACCAGTTGCAGAAGTTATGGTGCATGATTTAACTAGCTTTTCTTTTCCTGCATTTTTGTGGAAAAAGGAGCCATTGTAGTTCATGTTCTGATCCTCTACCTGTAACCTGTAATCTGTAATCCATCAATGTATGATCACCATCATGTTTGCTTGTGACTTTTCTCTGTTGTTGCTCCATTGTTTTGCACTCTCATGTTTATAGCATGCCTCACATAAATAGTGTTGGCATGTATAGCATGGAAGAAAATTGACATTCTAAATCAAAATTGAAGTGCTCTCTTTCATTCACAAATCTACTTTGGTAGCCTTACTTCACTTGGTTAGGAAAAATAATGATTCATGTCAACTCCATTTACTGGTAACCATAATATTTTGTGTCAGCAATTTCTTGGGGAAGTCGAGCTCTTTATGATAGTATTTTCAAGACAACATATGAGCTGATATGAACCGAGCAGGTGATAACCGAATGCTGCAGAAAAGAATGAGAAATGTTCTTACAACATGATTCTTCTCTGTAAAGATTCTTAACAAGTCCATGAGTTTGATCTCTTGATTAGAGGCTTCATCGCCTTGTCCTCTTCAAGAGAGACCATCCCCAGATGTGATGGATCTTCCAGCATCATCTTAGCCACCAAATAACCTGCAATCGACCATGTCTGGAACTTCCTTGCCTGTTTTCCTATGTACCTCCCCAGCTTGCCATCGTAGTATTCCGGCCAGCCGTCTTTCAAGAGCCGGTTCTCCGCAAGCTCGATCGCTCGTCGGGCAATCTGCGGTCGACCAGTCTTGATACAGGCTGCAGTGAGCAGCCAAAGAAGCACTGCGGTGACAGCAAAAGAAAGGAGGAAGAGTTGTCTCGTGGTTAGAGACCTTTGTGCATGTCAATAGTCAACATCTAGAATAATTACACGCTAACAAGGTGGAAAAGAAAGAAAGCACAGTGATGATGAGCACAAAATAGCATCGATATCTGAAATAACCTGAAGCGGCAAAGTTTATGTAATGAAATCTCTAAGGCATCAGATTCTTTTGATTCATCATCCCCATAAAAAAAAAAAGAAAAAAGGCGTCAAAGGCCCCAAGTTGACTAACCTGGCCAAGATCCTCCATTGTGGTAGCTCCATCTTGTATTCTTAGGATCACAACCGGTGACGATTCGCCACTCATGGTTCTCAATGGCAGGATATGTTATTTTTAAAGGCATTTCTCCAACCAGTTCCTCCCAACGCTCTTCGATGAGATCCATAATAGCCATAGACTGCTCCGGGGTAGCAAGAGATGATAAAATGGCGACAAGGTTTCCCAATGCGAACCAGCGGAAGTCCATTCTTGCTGGACTGACATTCCCAATAAAATAACCTCCTCGCGTAGGCATGAAATCAAACACCCAATCTGGAATTGAGTCTGGGATCACATTGAACTTGTTGACTGCTGTGTGAGAATACTCCTCTGTTTTATAGCGATATATGTCATTTAATTGCTGAAAATCAAGCCAAAAGTAACTTCTCATGTGGTAACTTAGTGCATGCAAACGTTTCACGATTCTTTCTACAAATTCCTTCCCTTCCGCATCATGTTTAAGCATTGGCAGAGCACACCTCAAAGCCATAAAGAAAAGTGCCTGAATTTCGATAGGATAACCATATATACCCTGAAAATAAAGTACGTGACAGAACACATATAAGTGAATCGGAACAAATAGGAATATGTTTGTGAATAATATATACAAATTCATACAAAGTTTAAACATGTGGGACGTCGTGACCAAGTCCAAAACCATATGGTATGTTTAGAAAAGTACTAAATAAATGCTTGTTTGGGTGCATAACAACTTACGAGTCCATCTAAAGAATCTTTGCTCAAACCCCTTAAGTTCATGCCAGGCCTAAATATATGGCAAAAACCCTTTCTTAATAAACCATATGACATGACAAGACAGTGGTTGCTCCATCTGATATGTGCTCCCGGATTGTCCTACGAACAGGCCTTGCCTACTAGGACCACTAGTTTTCACAAAGTTGTTTTCTTAGGTTAGTGCTGATACAATATATGTCATGATTCCAGACTGTAAAAAATACAGGTTTTAGGCCATAAAGACCTTTGAGTTCTTAATGATGGACAATGACTCACCATTTGCGAGGGGTCTTAGAAAGTAACTTGGTCATGCTATCATGTGTTTATGATCAAGTGCTGATGTGGCCCTGTTAACCGTCATGCTTATGACCAGCTAGAAGAATTAAGTGGGGTATGTTATGGTCTTTAGTTCATACAAAACTACTTTTTTAGCCAAAATCAGTTGCATGTTACATTTGTTTCTATTGACAAAATGAATATCCTATAGTAAAGTCCAGTAAGGAGATATTCCTGTTTTAACTTCAAGAAGAAAACTTTGGTGTGAACAGGAAAAATAATAGAGATCTTAGCAGTCAAACGCAGAAAAGGACAGCAAAGGATCTGAAGGAAACAAAAAAACGGAACATTTTAGGAGAAGGATAAAAGGTTCAGAATAGTAAAATAGTGATCGAAGCATACAATATCTGAACAGATGACTGCATTGAAGAAAAATGCTTCTGGTCTTACCATTCGTCGATCAATCATTGAACAACCATCAGCACATAGGAGCGTCGGAAATGTGTCAAAACCTTCTGATAGACATAAAGCTAATATAAGCCGCATTCCCTTTTGGCATTCATGTGTTTCTGCAAGAGATAAGTCTCCAGTTGACTTTGTATAGGCACGGAGAAGTATAATCCACCAGAACCCAGAGTCAACAGGTGCAACTCTTCCAATTGCGCTTTCACCAAAATCTGCAATCAGTGTATCTGTTTTTCGACCAGCATCATGGAGCACTTTGAAGCTCGCTGGCATGACACCTTCACCAAGCGTGAAACGGTCTATCTTCTTTTCCCACCCTTGAAGATGGAGGGTTTTCAGGAGAAAGTTTTTAACTATCTCCGGTTCCCCATTCATTAAAAAAGCGAGTGCACTCGGTACAAAATCACGAACAAACACCTATATAGAAGTAAATCAGTGATCAGCTTGCGACACCAGTAGTGATCTTATCAAGCATGCATTTTGAATTATTTTCCCCTTGCTATATTGCCATAAACACATCCATCAGAGCGAGCCATCAGAAGATAGGATGAAGCAGCAAAGTGAGCAGCTGCACGGTGCATCACATCATTAAGAAAATTTACATAACTAAAAAGGTGGGTAGCAGTGTTATCTCCGTGGCATCATAATAGGTTGAATGCACTGAAAGATCAAAAGTAAGTGCTTGGATTTGCAGAGTGACCCTTCAGGCATGCATGATAAATCACAACACCATTAAATCTATAGAAAAACATGGCAATCCAACCAGCAAAACACTAGAGAAAGGAGGAGGGTGCATAATGTCATCGAGCAAAATCCAAATGGTTTTGGATATCCACGGTACGTTACTAATGAAACACCAAACACAGCAGAATTAACTGAAGAAAATGATCCACTCATACAATACAAACTCTATAACTACCTGATCATAGTTGAGGATCTCCTCCGACCCGTGATCATTGGCAGCGATCGTCCCCACCGGCTGCCCTCTGAAGTACACCAACGATCTCCGGAGCGAATCCCATGCCTCGGCAACCATCGGATGCGGCTCGAAGGAGTTCCGAGCGGTCGAAGGCGTGTCAAATCCAGACCTATACCCTGCAGGCGAATATATACTGTCATAGCCCTCGAGGGCTCTGACATTGATCGAGAGCTCGCTCAAGGACCTCTCATCGAACGATCTCTGCCGCTCAATGTTGAGCTTCGGCTTGTTGAGGAGCCGTGATAGGCTAAGGTCGTCGACCTCCACCGAAGAGCTTGCCTCCCTGGGCCCGTCCATACTCAAGACCGATCTGCATCAGTTCCCAAAAAACATACAACTTTCACGAATCTAACCCAGCCCACTATCCAAAGAACAAGAACCAGTCGTTCCTAGTACAAGATCCAGTCCTTCCTAGTACAAGATCAGAAAATCCAGAGGAGTAAAATCCAAAAAAAAAAAAAACAGAAAAAGAACAGACAAATTTCTCCGAGAAGTAGAGAGGGACAGACCTCGAAAGGAGGAAGAGGCGACTCTCTGTCTCTCTCGACAGATCGGTCGGAAGAGATGGAGATCAGAGGCGGCCACAGGGCTTGAGGGGGAAAGAAGAGGGGAAAAAGCGAGCGATTTGCGAAGGGCTGATATTTAAGGGCCGACAACGGGATCACAAGCTTGCGCCGTTAACCTGAAGTAGCCGGTAACATCACACGGAGACCCACCGCCGGCGCCAGTGTTGCATATTCTGGCACACATAACGGAGGTAGATCTACCAACGGCAGAAGTGCAAGTAAGGCTTCCCATGTCCGAGTTCTCGGGTAGGTTGTCGCCTTCATTCGTACGGACAGATAGGGGTATAAAAGGAATCAATTCTTTACGTACTCACCCACCGACGAACCCGCCATGTTATCGGTGGCTGACATGGCCCCTGCATGGCGGGTCTCCTCCTCCTCCACCGGTGCAGTAGGTAGGTTAGAATGGCAGGACGATTGGTGTGCAACGGACGGGCGAGTCGACGGCTCACCAGTCCTCACCGTTCATTCGGTGTAATCCGCACTCAAAGCCCCCAAAAAGAAGGGCAGAAAAAAAAAGGGCGGACAGCTTGGAACAGCTTATGATGGGTTGCAGGTGGCGGACGAAGGGAAGGTTTCAGTGAGTTGGGTTTGCTTATCCCGGCAGGCACAACCGAGTCTTTGACTGAACACCTGCCGCACGCGTTTGTTGCATGCCACGGTATACATCCAAGGGAAGGCAGAGTGGATACATGACAGCAGTGTCGAGCACAGTGATCCCATAGACTCAGACTGGACCATCTGGTTTGAACTAGTTTTGCGATCCTTCCGCTGTTAAACACAGGTACAAAGCAGTATAGTATATCAAACTGGTAAGTTAATGAAAGCAGATAAGGGAAGGAGAATTCATTCCATGCATTTTTAAGAGTTGAGAGTTACCAAAGATGGCCATGGATGCTGAAGGCGACTGTGGCTTAGAATGTCTACCATGGTGAGTCTTCATATTAGAATGGCAGGCAGGGGCACTTACTCTCTGTGCCCAGTAAGTGTTGTACTCCTGTGGAAGCAAGTCAAGAATCAGAAGAAACCAGGTCATCTTTGGAATCTTGTGCCTTCTTATGATCACTTGTCATATGACAATATTCCTGAGCATCCAGATGACCTAACCTCTAGATTTGATGATAAAACTGTGTGCAGATCTTGTGCACTTTTCTAAGATCTCTTGACACCTGACAGTGTGCTCCAGCACTCAGATAGCCTCCAGATATACTGTTCAGTGTATTTCTTGTGCAATTAATGATGAAACTTGTGGACTTACTGATCTTTCCTTCACCATCCACTGGTGTTATCCATCTGCAGACCACAGAATGGGAGAGAGGATTAGATGCAAAAATCAACAACAAGATGGGTTTCAAATTATAACCACTAGAAAATTATACACTGCAACCACTAGGAAATTATGTAGAATCATATGGGTAGTAAAATAGAACTTGATAAGAGAAAAGATGATGACAGAGCAAATAAGCACATTGCACTGCACTAACATGATCTTGTAACAGGGTATATGATATATGAGACTCATAAGAAATGAGGATGCTGCAGACAGCTTCAGCTACAAGTTTTGGCTCAGCTTTGAATGTGGTGTTTGAAGTCATAAAAATCTGACTGAATTTTAATGAAACTCAGCTTGTCTGTCTGAATTTTAATGATTGACTGCTGACATATCCCAGTGCTAAAAGGCTGAACATGGCAATGGATTTTAATCCTGGTGAATAAATCCAAGGCAACTATTCCAGAGTGGTCATTGGTTCACAAGTATGTTTGGTCTCACAATACCTACATCATAGTTTGCATCGGCAGCTTCTTCCACATTTATGTGGTCCCTCTTGGCAATAACAGCTTTGATAAAAAGCCAGACTGTCCTAAAAATCTAAAAAACAAGTTAGCTGCCAGTTAACATGATAGTTGCTGATAACATTGTCAAGCCACTCAATCTGAAACAACTTCAACTCGTTAAAAAAACACCCCACACTACAAACAAAAGAATAGAAGCTGTTTAAAGAAGAGGTATCACAGGAAAACATGATGAACTGTATGAAAAATTTACATGACATGCAAAAATGCAAAGTGAGCTACTAGCCAGATTAGAATTGTACACAAATATCCGAGACAAATTACTGTGCTGAAATGAAGTACATCTTTTGACACTTTCTAGATAAAACTTGCTAGAGAATTCCATCAGATGCATATATTGACCAGAGCATTCAAGAACCTCCGTGGCGGTAAAGAAGTACTGAACGGTAGACAGTAGCAAGATGGAGGAAAACAATCAGTAAAATGATGAGATCGTCCAGAAAACCAACAAATCCAAATACTCCTGTACCAAGAGTGTCAATACAAATTGTTAAAACATGATACGAGATCAGTAACTACAAAAACACTGCAAGTACAAATATCCACAAGAATCATGGAGATGTGGTATTACCTTCTGGGATAATGTCCACGGGACTCAGCACATATATTGCAGTTAGAGCCATCTGGAAAATTTAAATCTCAATATACTTTAGTAAATGAGCAAAATAAATCAAAATGGGTATCCTAGAAACTAGAAAGTACCTAAGCGAGCATGGGTACTGCACATAGGCTTACAATACACGTTGCATTAACATGTTGTCAACTGCTTTATAATTGGTTTACAATTTTGCAGAAATCAAATTCTAAGCCTCATTGCATAATCTTTTAAAAATTCTTTGCAGGGACTATCTGATTCTGCTTCTGGACACGTAGACCTATTCCATGGTCATAAAAATTTTGGTGTCCACTAAACAATTTGATGTACACCTAAACAGTAGCACATTCTGTCCAAATAACTCCGAGAATAGGAATGCATATCCAGATTATGCCACTAATGCATATGCTTCCTTTTCCTTATTGTTATCAATTCTTTGTCATGAATATTTTTATTGTCGTGATAAAACAGGTCGGCCATGTTAATATTACATTAATACCTTAAACATCTATCCTCTCTTGTTGTTGATCACATCAATTGGTCACTTATCACTATAACTTCAAATTACCTAATTATACTTTGATCTTGATAAAATTTTCTATTTTGATACCTGATAACATACATTCATGAACAAAGACTTTTTTCAATATTCAGTATGATGTGTGTTTCCGGGCACTTGTGTGACAGCACACACTTAAAGTGCTGTGTGGTAAATTGATTTGACCGCCTATCATGGCTCCTTCTTAGAACATTATCATGACAATGACCAGATAACAATATTTCATAATCTGTTCACAATAATTATTCAAATATTTGGAAGTCCTTTCTCATAAACATTTAAAAACTAAAGATTATCATCGCTATGGAAAAAAGTTCTGGGCCCCACATTAGATTTGTTTAGCAGAATTAAATCTCAATACTGCTAAACATTGTTGGCATTTCAGTGGCATTTCAGTCCATAACTACCAAGGATATATTTTTTTTACCTTTGTTGCATTTTAACACATCAAGAAAAAGAGGATTGCAAACCTTAGAGGTAGGTTAAATCCCTAAAAGATTCTAGCCTAAATATTATATCAAATACATTACAGAATTATATGATATATTCATAGAGTTGATTCCAGGATAACTTGGATCTGGTGATCTTAATGTGACCTTAAAGGATTTTGAGTATTTTAACAAATTAAAAACAATGTGGATGCAACTACTTCCATTCTACCTTGCTCTTTGGTAAAAACTCCTGAACAAAAGCAAAAGTTATTTTGTATTCCAGTCCAGACAAGCATCATTCAAGTACTTTTGTTACATAAGAATCCCAACCTAATATCGAGTTTATGATAATCATATATAAGAGTAGCAATAAACCTATATATGTTACTAGATCAACAATTACCAATCAAAATAACAAAATTTGTCCGGAAATGTTGATATGCCACTGAAGAATCAAAGTTCCATAGACATCAAGAACTTTTCACTTAAATAAAACAAAAAGAAAAAGACAGGATCTAGCTTTTGTTGCATATGCTAAAAAAGGTAAATGTATGATGTAGCAATTTAAGAAGAAACAAATAGATTAGGTAGAAACACAAAATCTTGACCATGATAATGCAAGAAATATATTTATTGAAGTTTGAAAATGAATATCTAAGACTGCTCCCTTGTACTAATTACGAATTAAATTATATATTGAAAACATATAACAACCTTATATGCACATTTCGTCTGAGTTATCTGTTACTTACAGCAAGAATCACTCGTACTCTGAGGACGAAGGGCAGTGACCTTTGTGGATCCATCATTTCTCTTAACAGTCTTCGGATGAAGAATGGAAGGTCCCTCAACCTCTGTGATGCCAAAATAGTTAATCCTTTAACAAATTGGCTTTCGATTTAGGTATCAGTTCAATATCAAAGGATTGATATTTGACTACATATTTCTGTCTGACATGCCTCTCAATATTACATATAGTAGATGTATTGGAAAGTTCTCTTCCTAACTAGAATTTCTTTTGTTGCATTTGACAATTTTTATTCTTTACAAAAATAAAATAAAATGAAACAAAAAATTCACTTTAGTATTTTTAAATGAATATTCTGCATTGTTATTATTAAATACTCATCTAGTCACGTCATCTAGATGAACATTTGCTTTTTCATTTGAGATGGGAAAATTTTGATAGGCAGGGAATGGTTTTCTTATCCTTTGAAGAAATGAACAAGATAGATATGTGATGGGAAATTCACCTGTATAAGGCTGGATGAGCCTCCACCAAAATTTCGGTTGTATTTCTCAATGTTTTCAAGAACTCGACTAGCTTCTGGGTCCTGGCGCTCTTGTACAGCAGCATCAGTAGGTATTAACAAAGTTATGAAACGACGGCAAATGGGACACTTGCATGGTTGAAGGGCAGATCCATGATGCCACACACGCAGAATACAATGGCCTGAGAATACAAAGTTGATAGTCTCAAAACATATTATAACTAATTAATCAACAAACATACTGAGACAATAATGACCTCCTGACTCTACAATTAAAACTTGACTTAGGACCAATAATACCTACCATCTCTGGGATATTTGAGGTAAATGATAATGCTAATCTTCAAAGCTATAAGCTAGATGCATAAGCTAAGCAAATTTAAAATCACTTCTGAGATCAAGAATCTAAACATATGTCCACTAATTGCCATTGGAAAATGTCTTTTATTCTACCTCACTAATTCATGTAGGAGATCTCTCTGGGAAACCATAATAGATTAAGCGATAGAGCAACTAGCATGCTCATTACAGAAGCATGTATAGAACTCAAAAATCACCATCACTTTATGAGAAAGCATAAAGAAAGAATGAACAGCGAGAACAATCTGCACAGGCTGTGAATGACAACATATGACCTCTCAAAGTGTAGAAGAACTAACCAGTGTCAAGCAAAAGTCTTGAAGATACTGAAGATGAGCATTTTACGAGATTATTATGTGTCCCTAGCCAACAAATAAAGTTGGCATTGTGAAAAAGCTCCAAAACGTCACAAAAGAAAGGTAAAAAAAGAAGAAGAAAATGTACATTATAGTGTGACATGATAATAAATAGGTTTTAATACACTACTGCTACATGACTGAGCCATCGAGAGATGTTTTTTTATCTAATATAAAAATGTTGCTCAGCTGGTTTTGGGAGCAATGATTAGGAAACAAAAATGTTGTGATTCAAAAGAGGAAACAAAAACTATAAGAGTTACATGAAAGATCTACTTTTGAGTCCTCATCTTTCATGGATCAACATAATAGCCATATAAACTTTCATACTGTATGTAATCTAGTAATGATGTTATTTTAATTGATGAGAGTTTAGTTGAGACTTAAGTCTTACCTTGATCGATGGAGATAAATGATAGAAACCAAGAGTTTTAGGTTTAATAAGACTATGATCAAATATATGGTATATTATTTTAGCAAGGCCAAGAAAAGAATCTAGAGTACAGTTGAAATGTTATGTGCATAAGAAAGAATTCAACTATCATAAATAAACTTGCATTACTTGCTCGAAGAAAACGTCACAAATCTTGATGGCAGATTCCATTATTCAATTAGTCAACCTTCCAAATATTCTTGTATACAAATTAATGTTATGGAAGATAAAATGTTCTTCTTTATTAAACTAAACCTGACAACCATTCAGAATCCAAATTCACTCCATATTTAATAACAACTAGCCATTCAAAATGCGTTTCAAAATTATGAGATATTATCAGATCAGTTACCATGGATTCCCATGAAAATTCTTCATCCAACTGACTAAAATTACAAAAATGGTGGCATGCGACTCAACCTAAAACAATGAATAAATTGGCTCTACCACCTCAGGCCAGCGAAGAATCTCCACTTTGTGGGAAAGCTCGTCTTGTTGCAACCACACACGATTAACGACGAAGAAATAGAAATGAAAGATTCAAAACTAAACAAAAGGGACATCAAGAACAAAAAAATTAGGGTTCAAGATCGTATGAGATATTGTCAGATCAGATACCACGAATTCCCATAAAAATTCTTCAACCATCAGACTGGAATGACAAAAAGCGCTGGTCAAGAATGCGAAAGCTAGTCTTGTTGCAATCGAACACAATTAACAAATGAAGAAAACGAAACTAAAGACTCAAAACCAAACAAGAAGGACGTCAAAAACAAGAAATTAAGGTTCAAGATTTTACGAGAGATTGCCAGATTAGACACCACGAGTTCCCACAAAGATTCTTCATCCGACTAAAACTACAAGAACGATGGGAATCCACGAAATCGATGAAAAAATTGGATCCACCACCTCAGGTTAGCGAAAAATGGCCAACATGCGGGAAAGCTCAGAAAACGAAACTAAAGGTTCGAAACTAAACAAGAAGGTCGTCAAGAACAAGAAATTAGGGTTCAAGATTGTAGAGAGAGAGAGAGGGGGTGGGTTGGGGTTAAGAGCCGTGACCGCAGAACCAGTGGGAGCAATTGGCTTGGCATGGGAGGGTGAAGCTGTCGTGGCAGATCGAGCAGAAGTCCTCCTCCGGCGGAGATTCCATTCCTTCTTTTACTTTCTCGGGCCGGGGAACGTGATTAGATGAATCAAGAAGCAGAAGAAGCGCAAAGATCAAATGTCGGCATCGTCGTCACTTCGCCGGAGCCCCGCGGGCTGCACGCCTCCTGCTTGTCTTAATGCGCGCTTAAGCATCCACGGAGGCTCACATGCCAATTATCTTTTTAATAGGATTATTGTATTTTTAAAATAAAATTATAATATTTTTAATCTGTCTTTTGAACCGATCAAAAGAATTATTTAGGATATTTTATCGAAAATTTATCTAAGAATTATTTAGGATAAAATCCTAAAATCCCAAGAATTATTGTGTTTCCAATAATACTAAAATAATTATATTATAGTATTTTTTTTATGTTATATCATAATATTTTTTATTCTGAAAATATTATAATATAGTGTACAAATATATAGTATTTTTATATTACGTTATCTATATATATATATATATATATAATCACTATTTTGGATATTGGATGAATAATGAATGTAAAACTTAGCTTAGAGAGGGGTAAATATGGGAACCAATTTATGCGTAGGGATATGTCTGTCATTTTGACAAACCCTTTACGGACCCCTCATCTGTCTCCTTCGTCGTCTTTCTCCGCTGTAGGAACCGTCAAAACCCTAACCAGGACCGAGAGGGTGATATAAACCCTGTCAAGTTTTCTTCGTTCCATGGCGACCACCTCCGCCTACGCCGCGTCTTCCTCCGTCGTTCGCATTCTCTGCTCCAATCCCGCCCGCGATCCCCCTTCCGTAAGAAGACAGCCGGAAACATCTCTCTTCTCCCTACCCATCTCAAAAAGCTCCTTTTTCTATGATTACCTATTCTAACGCCTAGATGTTGCTTCGATTGTAGGGCTTTAAGGGTTGCAGGGGTTTTAGCGGGAGTTTACGGTTCTCCTCGAAGAGGAGCACAGCGCCGCTCGCGATGATGTCACGGAGATCGGACACGAGTCTGGGTGACGGGGATAGGGAGAAGGACACGAGCACCTCGGCTGTGGCGGAGGGTTTTGCTGATCGCTTGGATGATTTATCTTCGGAGTCGGGTTTGTTCAGCCTTCTTGATCATTTTTCTTGTTTTATAGATGAATTAACTGAGTATGGAAGCTCATTTTTACAGAATTGGAGGAGAGGGAACCGAGCGTCGCCACGATATTGACTAGCTTTGGAAATTCGTTTGATCCCTATGGAGCTATGAGTACACCATTGTACCAAACATCCACATTTAAGCAGGTAGAAGTTCCTTTTTTTTCTTCCATTTCACTTCAAAGAAAATGACTTTATTGTCTAAAGAAGCTTTTAAATCTAGGCCATTTAATTGTATTTGATAGTTGCTTAGGGTGAAAAAGAAACAAAAAATAGCAGGCCTTGTGAAGCAAACCCAGGCTTTCAAGCTTTTTTCTGATAGATGCGTGTAATCAATTGGGGAAGGAGGATGATAATGGCATGATATTGAAGAGCAAAGCTTTTTCTACCTTTTTATTTTCTTTTTGCTCCCCTTTCTCAAAGAGAAATGAGTTGTTGAAGAGCTTCCTCTCCTTTTTTCTATGAATATGTGTTGGTTCTGGAAAAATACATTGATAGAGTTTAAATTGAATGTGGAGCCGTAGAAGAAGTTTAGTTTAATTTTCCCTTTTGAGCCAGTCATTTCTTGCTTATTCTGAAATACTTGGTGATATGCTTGTTGAGTTGCAAGTTCTTGCCTTTCCATGTTCTTCAGCCTTCAGCAACTACTTATGGCCCCTATGACTATACCAGAAGCGGTAATCCTACTCGAGATGTGCTGCAAAGGTTTGTTATCTGATGCTGGTATGCACAGCTTAGATATAGCAAGTATAATTTGGAAATCATTTCTCATTTTTTATTGATAAATATATTGTTGTCTAAATAATCAGTCTTATGGCTAAGCTTGAGAAGGCTGATCAGGCATTTTGCTTCACTAGTGGCATGGCTGCTCTTGCTACTGTTACACATCTTGTTGAAGCTGGTGTGAATCTACCTTTAAATATCCTGACCTTTGCCACTGGACGTAATTGAATGGCCAAGCTTTTATATCTAGGTCAAGAAATCGTTGCTGGAGATGACATATATGGCGGCTCTGACCGGTTGCTATCACGAGTGGTTCCAAAGAGTGGGGTTATCGTGAAGTTAGTTTGGTGTCCTTCCCTTCTCAACAGATATTTTTTTTACCACAGTTGTCAAATGCTAACAACATTATATATTTTTGACATTGCAGACGAGTTAACACATCTGACATCAATGAGGTGGCATCTGCAATTGGCCCTTCGACAAAGCTTGTGTGGTTAGAGAGCCCAACAAATCCTCGCCAACAGATAACCGACATACGAGTACGCAAATGGCTATAGTGGTTTGTTAGACACTATACTGCTTCCTTTTTCGAGAAATTCTTGTGCCTAGGAAGTTGTTCTGCATAAGTCAAGGGTGTTTTTTGTGACCTCTCTCATCTGATTATGAAGCATAGTAGGATTTGCACTGTGATGCCCCCAGTTTGTCATTATTTAGACTTTGGCATTTGATCATTCTTTTGAAAGACTAAGATGCCTCCCCTGGATCTTATATCATGCTGTTTGTTGGTCACTGTTTTTAAATAATCTGTTCTCTTGATATCATGAGATGCCTTTGCTAATATTTTCATTTAATGGCAGAAAATCTCCGAGATAGCTCATTCCTTTGGTGCGTTAGTTATGGTGGACAATAGTATCTTGTCTCCAGTGCTATCTCAGCCATTACAACTTGGAGCAGGTATTCTTATGGACTGATATTGTAGAATAGTATTTTACAGGTTCTGGCATCTTCAGTGTCTTAGTTAAATGATAGGTTTCTGATTTACTGGCAATTTCTTCCCCTTGCAGATATTGTGATGCACTCAGCTACTAAATTTATCTCTGGTCATAGTGATCTTATGGCAGGCATCCTTGCTGTAAAGGGTGACAGGTGGGAGATTTTTGTTATTGATGTTATTTATAGCTCACAATCTCATTTACATTTCACATATTTTGTTGACATACATCACATATCCCGGTAAACATCAAAATAAGTATTTTTGAGTTGCAGCCAACCATCCCTAGAGTGGATGAACATCCAATCAGTCATTCAGTTTTAAACTCTGACATGTTATGGCATCCAACAGAAAATATACATATATATATATATTTGTATTTGTATTTGTATGTATTTGTATATATATATATATATATATATATATATATATATATATATATATATATATGTATATGTATATGTATGTATATGTATA